TATGATAATTTTACATTCGACAAATGACAAAAACATGGCGCACGTTACGATTTTTCATCCAAAATTAAGTTCACCCACAGCACTTGACTGATTTTTAAGTACTTCTTATTTCGATTTTGAGTTGTTTCGTTTCTTCGTGTGGCTGCAAACACGCCTCTTGCTGTGTTTGTTGTAGAAAATGCAAGATAATAGCTTCTTCCATCAAACTGTTTGTTGAAAATAGCCCGAAACGATGTTATATGGCCGTGGCGTTCCAAAGAGAAAAACATTATAAGAATCGATGAATATAGTGAGGACCTTATGCATTGTTCAGGTTGATTTCAAAATTGTTCGAACGAACCACTTTTTTTTTTAAACGAAAACCCTTAGTGACATGATATTTATTGTCTTGACGATCATAGTTAGATGACTAGCAACATGCTTTGATCGTCAATACAAAATGACAGACTGTTTATCAACAGTGAATGAAGCACTTGTGATACAGTTTTTGTTTTGTCGAACGTCGTTTGATGACGATGTTTCAATGGTCTCTGTAGTAGCCCAAATTTATGCAGTGACGATGACAATTTTCAGCACTGTGTCCCTGTGAAGACGAGACCGGATATTTTTTCGCCTCAGAAAAATCCCAACGACCTCAGATAGGATTGAACCCGAAAACACTGGGGTGAGATAGCAGTCACTACCAGTTACCACTAACCACCGGCGCCGTCATAATGAATAACTGCCTAAAGTCAACCTCTGTTGCTGGTATAGAGACTATATCGAGATTATCGATTTTTTACGGCTACACAAGCAAAGTTGTGTTAGTGATATCTTGCGGCAAGAAGTAAATAGACCCTATCACTGGGCTGGTTGACGCATATACACGGGAAAAAATCCGAGCTCCGAAATGAGAAAAATGACTCATGATTTCATGAACGCAGCGTATTTTCATGTAATGAAAATACACCATGAATAATATTCATGATATCATGAGCAACTTTTGCGTAACGCAGCAAACATTCCCAAAATCATGAATCATCCGAGTTGAAATCATGAGCTAAATTCAAGGGGTTTAACTTTTAACCAAAAAATGCAAAAAGAGTAAAACAAAGCATCAGACTGGATACAAACCAAGAACCTTGAGATCATTAAACCCATACTTTGACCACTAGACTATCAGTACTTGTATCAGATGAAAGACAAAAGGCGTATAAGAGATACCTATGTAGTGCGGTTTATGAACAAGGTTTGCCAAGTACGTGTAACGCTTGCAGCGGTCTTGATTCCACTGCATTATGAAATCATGAATTTCCATGACGAAATCATGAATCATTGTTACGATTTCATGGGATGGCAAGTTTTCTCATTTCATGATTTTTTATTCATGAAAATGGAATCGGATTTGTTTCCGTGTAGCATTGTGGCTTGAGTTGGCAGATTACTATGAATGTATGCATTCGCTTTTTTTCCTTGACTTGTTTTTCGTCGATCTTGTTTTCCGTACTGAGTATGAATTCTACCGACGCCAGGAAGGCAGCTCCCCAAGGGATAAGTCACTTAGCACAGAGTGCCGAAAGTATATTCGGCACAACTTGGGCACATCCATCGGTACACCTTCGGAACAATCTCGTAGGTATTGGATTGTTCATTAAATGAAATGGGAGCTCTGCTGGACAGCTGTCATTGAAATGGTTCACAACATTACGTGCTGTTTGACTGTGTATTTCAGAAACATACTCTAATTGAATATACTAGAGGAACTCAGACCAGAAATTCACAGCATTCAATTCACTAAATTCGAAATGTAGGCTTCCGAGGGCTGTCGATTGCCATCGATGCCGGTCACAAGTCTTTCAGCTACTATTACTCGGAAGTGGCAGGATGTGGTCTTGTAAGGACCCTTTGTTTCAGCAGCAAATCACCAGCAATCCGTTAATTGGTCATCTACCAAACCAAAATCACTGTAACAATACCGAACTACTTTTCATGGCACAATCACATGGAATTTTTATTGCTTCCACTCAACATAATTAACATACTATTTTTAAACCGAATTTTACTGGTTGAGGTACTATGATAGAATTCTCCCGGAACTCCAACTCCTCGTTTGGACGACATTGGAGCAGCAGGACTTGTAACGCGCACCAAGATCACAGATGATCTATTAGAAGTGCAGATAGTTCTTGTCGCTGAATGCACTTAACTTGGGACGCTGATGTCCACCGTGTCGAAGCTCTTGTCCATGACGAAGGCTCGCAGTTTTCCTTGGACCCAATGTTCTGCCATCCCTTAAAGGGTGATACGGTCAAAATTTGGTCAAGGGAAAACGCGTGTAAATCGGTGAAATCGTTTATTTAAAAAAATCAAATTAAATTTCTTTTTCAAGTACAATTAGTATAAAATTCAGGAAAAATATTCAGTTAGGCTTCCGCTTTTCCAAATCCGAATTGCCGGGCCTTACGCTTGACCCCTGCCATCAGATTTTGTACAGCCACCTTGTCCACCTTCTTCGCCGCAGAAAGCCAGTTTGCCTTGAACTGCTGCTCGCCCTTAGCAGTTTTTTTGGTCTTCTTTAGGTTCCGCTTGACAATAGCCCAGTATTTCTCAATTGGGCGGAGCTCTGGCGTGTTGGGAGGGTTCTTGTCCTTGGGAACCACCTGCACGTTGTTGGCGGCGTACCACTCCATGGCCTTTTTACCGTAATGGCAAGATGCCAAATCCGGCCAAAACAGTACGGAACAACCGTGTTTCTTCAGGAAAGGCAGCAGACGTTTATTCAAACACTCTTTCACGTAAATTTCTTGGTTGACAGTCCCGGAAGCTATGAAAATGCTGCTTTTCAAGCCACAGGTACAGATGGCTTGCCAAACCAGATATTTCTTTGCGAACTTTGACAGTTTCATGTGCTTGAAAACATCTGCTACCTTTCCCCTTCCTTTTGCCGTATAAAACTCCTGTCCCGGAAGCTGCTTGTAGTCGGCTTTGACGTAGGTTTCGTCGTCCATTACCACGCAGTCAAACTTCGTCAGCATCGTCGTGTACAGCCTCCGGGATCGCGCTTTGGCCGTCATATTTTGTTTATCATCGCGATTTGGAGTCACTACCTTCTTGTAAGTCGATAGTCCGGCTCGTTTTTTGGCTCGATGCACGGTTGTAGACGATACACCCAGCTTATTTGCGGCATCTCGGAGAGAGAGGTTAGGGTTTCGCTTGAAACTACCGGCAACTCTCTTTGTCGTCTCAGCGGCTTCCGGTTTTCGATTTCCCCCCGATCCAGACTTCCTGGCTGTCGACAAACGTTCCCCAAACACTTTAATTACATTTGTAACGGTTGATTTGGCAACTTTTAGCGATTTTGCCAACTTTGCGTGCGAGTAGCTCGGATTTTCGCGATGCGCGAGCAAAATTTTGATACGCTGCTCTTCTTGCTTGGACGGCATTTTGACAACTGAAGAGTGAATTCCAAAATCAAAATAGGAGCAACATTCTACACACACACACCTTCAAAATGAGGGGTGTTCAGGTTTTTTAAATGCAAAATTGAAAGAAATACGTCAAGTTGATATTGACCAAATTTTGACCGTATAACCCTTTAATCGCCTCCAGCAGCTTTTCAAATTTGGTCTTGTCTTTGTCGTTCTTATCCCTAACCAACAGCTTCACCGACGGAATGCTCTCCGCACCGTCCTTCTCGATCTGCTTCAAGAAGTCGATCTTCTTCTTGCTGGTCAGGAAAAATATGGACTTTTCGCACCGCACCGTAATCGTATCGGTCAGCTCGTATCCCCGCAGCCTGGTCTGTAGATGGTTTCCTCGTCTACGCCGACCACCGTCAGAATGCAATCCATCTTATGCAGCGAATCATCATGGAAAAACTCTGGTTCCTTCCAGTTGGCGTAGAGGCGTTTTATTCGTTGGTAAAATGAATCCTTCTCGAGCACGATATTCGACATTTTCCGGTCCGTTCAATTATCGCATCCAACGGTTTTCGATGCGGGCAAACTTCTGGTTGCTCTCCGGCTTTTTTTCTTCTTTGTTGTATCCTGTTGGATGGCTGAGACCGCTCACGGTCCATCTCGCCAGCATTCCTCCTTGTTTGTCGCTAGACCGATGTTATCCAAAACATTTAAGCTGTCTGAAATGCCGGGTTGCCAAATTTACCATAATATTCGTATTTTACAAAAAATCGCAGCTTGCTCTATGACCGGCACTATCGGCACAATCGGCACAGTTGCGGCACACTGAGAAAAATGTTGACGTAATATTGGTCCGCGGGGTGACCTACCCCTTGCAGCTCCCACACCTGGACCCTACCTATCGACCCATCAACTCATGGACCGGGGACCAACGACTTTGTTTCCCTATGCCTCAGAAAATCCCAACTGCGTCGACTGGGATTGAACCCAGGCCCTTTGGAGTGAGAGGCAGTCACGATAAGCACTACACCATTGGCGCCACTGTATGCATTCGCTTCCTATTCATATAATGTAGCCGTCAGGTGGTTCTGATTATTCTATTGGTGAGAAATGCAATGCTCTGCCGCGACTGTTTTGTATTTGTGCTTATGGAATTATAATTAAATTTGAAATCCTGTCGGTTAATGGCCTGCACTCCTTTCGTTCGATTTATATACATCACTCAATATATCAAATCATACAATAATGGTCATAGACAGCACACAACTGCAAAAGCAGTCAAAGTAAACTACGTTGAGAGATCATGTAACGTTCTATTACGAACGTTATAAGTAAGCAAGAAGAACCATTTGCTTTATTTAATGGCATACTTTGCAATTTATGAACGGCACGTGGTTTTAAAATTCTGAACGTTCCCAGACAAATGATAGATAAAACCATAACACTGAGACTCACATCGAAGTAAATAAACTGCTCGCCGATGCACATGTAGATACAATCTGTGCAAGTCTGGTACAAGTAGATAACAACTTCAGAGACCTTACTTCATATATAAGTCAACAGTATCGCCAAACATTTCCTCAAATAATTGCTGGCCCTCTTACGTAAGATGTCTGTGTCGCTGCTGTATCTATTCGTTTTGGGCCTAACAGGTACTGGTTATTTTACTCAACCCTTCAATCTTATCATAGCGCATATAACTGTTTTCAGCTCCATGGGTTTTTGCGAATCACGATGACCCCCACCAGTGGCAGGTTACCACTGACGATCGGGGTCATATGCATCTGGTAAGCTTGGATCCGTACGCTGACCCGCTATTCGACCACCCAGCACCACTGTTTAATCCGGAACAGGACACCCACTTCTACCTGTACACCCGTTCAATGCCGGAATATCCTCAGATCATCGCTAACAACGATTACGATTCGGTGATGTATTCGAAATTCAACGCGAGTGACCCGACTCGAATCGTTATCCACGGTTGGGGAGGTAGCCTGAACTCGCAAATCAATGGACATATTCGCACGCAGCTGTTCAACGTGGGAGAGTTCAACGTAATCTTCGTCGATTGGAGTGTCGGAAATGACGCATTCTATCCGAACTCTCGTCAGCTGGTGTATCCGGTTGGGATTGCGACTTCAAATTTGATCGATTTCCTTGTTAGAACGAAGAATCTTAGGCGAGAGGATGTGGTCGTGATCGGACATAGTTTAGGTGCGCATGCAGCTGGGAATGTTGGAAAGGGACAGATGGGACGACTACCGGCGATTATAGGATTGGATCCGGCGCTGCCGTTTTTCGCAATGAATTCGGTGGACAGAATCAAGGATACGGATGCGGAGTACGTAGAAGTGATTCACACGAATGGTGGTGTGCTTGGCTTCATGGAACCGTTGGGAGATGCGGACTTCTATCCAAACTGGGGAAGAATTCAACCTGGTTGTGGAGTGGACGTTGATGGAAGTTGTGCCCATCAGCGAGCGGTGGATTATTACGTGGAATCAATTTCTTCGCGAGTTGGATTCGTCGCTAGTCAGTGTTCCAGTTTCCAGGACATTCGAAGTGGAATGTGCTCGGAGACTGGATTTTCTGTGCGGATGGGCGGTGAGCCAACGAATAGTGGAACGGGAGTGAAGGGGGTTTTCTTTGTTGCTACCGCTGGAGGCAGGCCTTTTGTGAATGAGTGTTAATTTTGTTTATGTAATTTTAGTGATCTAGTTGTTATGTCGTTGAAAATTGCGAATCAATTATTTGAAACAAGTGGATTTATATTTTGAAGTAAATAACTGAACTTTACGGTAACTGCAATCTGATATTTTCAAATGTAAATTAATTCTGTTACGGTTTCGAACTCCAAAAAGATGATTTTTCATGATTTTCAAGGCATTTTTTAAATCAATTCCATACTGATAGCAGGGTAAAACGCCTTGTTCATGGTGCAATATGCACTCAAACACTGGGGCAAGACGCACAACAATGGACAAAATGCACCACAACATTGAGGTATAATGCACCGCTTGCGAGCGACAAACCATAACCTGTAAGTCGAGAATACATTAGTACGAGGTATTTCAAATGATTATTCCTTTATTTTTACATAAAAAATAAAGTATCAACATAGTGTTTAAATGTTATTTTATAAAGTTAAACATTTAAAAAATATACGCAAAGTGAATTGGTTCGATTCTTTTGCTGTATACCCGAGCAAAGTCTGAGATCATATTGAAATCTAAATTTGATGTTGTGATTTCGCTGATTATTATTGCTCAGGCTGCTGTCGTTTTGGTCGTTTTAAAGCTATCATCACACTGTTTGACAAAACGCCAAATATTTGGCAAATTTTGACAAATATATTTGACCAAAGTATAATGGCCAAACATATTTGACCAATTTTTGCTATGGCAAATATTTGACGTGTATTTGACATTTCAATTATTTGGCATTTTGTCAAATAGTGTGATGCCTTTTGTTATTGTTTGTCAAGCATGTTTGCTCATTACTATCAAATTATTTATTTAACATTCTGAAATTTCTTGACTAGCAAACATCAACAAATAATTGTGCAATTACCGGTTATCGAAAAAAAAATCAAATTTTTTGTTTTGTGAGCATTTTGATGATGGCAGAAGACTATTCCGGTGCTACTTTCGACGATGTGGAGAGTGTTGGAGCTCCAAGTCCAAGTGGGACGTCGAAATGTGCACGAAAAATCCGGAAAAAAGGGACGGCAGAGTGGAGCGAGGAAGCCACTTTAACGTTGATCGCAGCCGGTTATAAGCCGCATGGTTATAACAATGGTTATAAGTTGTTGAGGAAGTCAAGATCTTTTCGCTGGTGGACAGTAGTTCAGAGTTTTCTCCCTTCGTGGCGCTAGTATACATGTAAATATCTCGCTTATAAAATATCTCTTGATCCTGACCAGGTAGAAAGTGACTGTCCAAGACAAAGTTGTTCAGGAAGTTAAGATCTTTTTGTTGATGTACAGTAATTCAGAATTTTCTCACTTCGTGGCGCTAGTATACATGTGAATATCTCGCTTATAAAATATATCTAGATCCTGACCAGATAGAAAGTTACTCTCATCGGCAAAGTTGTTGAGGAAGTCTAGATCTTTTCGCTGGTGGACAGTAGTTCAGAGTTTTTTTTTGTCTTAGACAAAGTTGTTCAGGAAGTTAAGATTTTTTCGTTGGTGTACAGTAGTTCAGAATTTTTTCACTACGTGGCGCTAGAATATATGTTGGTCATTCCAGCTCAAGTGTATACACCACGTGGTCAATGTCACCGATTTGAACCAAACTTTGCCAAAACGCTTATTTTGACATTCTGAACAAACGACTGTTTTGGTTTTGCTCTTAAGTGCCTGGATCCATCTGGGCTACAACCCTGGATTTTTGAGATTTTTAGATATATTATCTTTAAGAAGATATTACCATAGAGGTAACTCTAAGACCACTGGGTCCTGAAGAAAATCATTATTATTTTTGGCTCACTCAGTACCAGAACAACGGTCCCAAGCAGTCCCAAGCTATTTCACTCACCCCTGCATGTTCTGCATGAATCCACACACCCCTGATGTTATCTGTCAAACTTTCATAGCGAATCAAAACAAACATAGTGTAGTAATAGAATTTCAACTAGAATAGGGTAAGTTAATCGTTTGCTTGGGACCAATAGGCTACTAAAGTGGTGAGCCAATTTAAAATCGTTAGTTTCGTATTGATTGTTGATATTACCAACAATCAATACGAAACTAACGATTTTAAATTGGCTCACTACTTGACTAGCCTATTGGTCCCAAGCAAACGATTAACGTACCCCATTCTAGTCAAAATTCTAGTACTACACAACTAGAACACTGTTTGTTTTGATTCGCTATGAAAGTTTGACAGATAAAATGAGGGGCTTGTGGCTTTTCCTATGCTTCGATGGGTGCATCGATTAGCTTGGGACCGAAGATAGTACCAGAGCTGAGCCAAAAAGTTGAGCACGTTTCTTCGGGACCTACTAGTCTTAGAGTTACCTCTATGATATTACTCCACAACCAAGCAAGTTATTTTTGATCTTGGTACGGAATATTGAAGGTATTTTAATTTAGATTTTTATATGTGTACTGACAATACAGTAACTACAGAAAACAGAATGATTTCCGGATGGTATTCAAGCTATCAAAATATGGGCTAATTTCACCCAGGGCGGGATTCTTTATTTCAAATTTTCACTACTTTTTGGAAAACCCTTCTGATGCGACCTACCTTTAAGAAATTCTGCTTCAAAACCAGATAGATGGCATCCAGGACTTCGGGTATGATGTTTGAAATAGTTGGCAGTGGGATGCGAAAAAGGTACTGGAGCGACATGAAGCTTTCGCCGGTAGCCATGTACAGCAAAGTCAGAGCCAGCCTTTCTCCGGCTGTAATCGCTTTCCGCATATACGTGTTCTGTTTTTGAATATGCGGAGCTACTAAATCCAACAAATAGTCAAAATCAGCAGCCGTCATTCTCACGAAGTTTCGGAACAAATTTGGATGATCGCTCCTCAACTCATTCAAAAGGGTTGCATAACATCCTTCAGTTTGCCGTTTCTTCACCTACTCCTGGACCCAAACATTGATTTTGATAAGTTCTTTAGTTGACTGCACATTGTAGTCGAAATACGTATCGGTCATGGATACCAAAATTTATTGAGTGGAATTGAATGGAAGATAACCTTTTTTGCTGTTTTATTTAGGCATTCCGCTAACAACCCAATTTCATTACTTCATTATGATGGCTACCAAGCCTTTGGGATTTTCCTTATAAGAGAGTTGTATAGATTTTTTTCTCCTTTAGTTTACTTAAATCTTTGGTTTTTATTAGTTAGGTAGGTTCCGGTTCAATACATTGTAGTTTCATTTTTATAGCTGTGATGTTGACTTTTTTTTACCTAGGAGATGAGTACTTAAGAGGGTTAGATTTTGATAAGTTCTTTAGTGGGAATGACACTGATGAAGACTGCACATTGTAGTCGAAATACGTATCTGTCATGGATACCAAAATTTATTAAGTAGAATTAAATGGAAGATAACCTTTTTTGCTGTTTTATTTCAAATACGTAGCTATTAAATATCAAATCAATGGCCAAATAAATAAACTCGGTCAACTGCAATTAATGTAATACGCCAACACATATCTTCACAAATAGCTGGTCAAATAACCGTTTTTTAGTGTTTGGTCAAATAATTTGTGGTAAATATTTGCTAAATAACGGACAAGTGTGGCTTAGGCAAACAAATATGACAAAGTGCATTATTTGGCAAAACTTAACGAGTCAAATATTTAAATGTGGACAAGCAGTGTGATATCAGCTTAACGGTAGAAACAACTGATCAGCAATGCATATAGCCATCCTATCGGTTAGTATGCAGTGTAACCATGGAAAAAGCTGTGCAAAATTCTTAAATCCAAGGCAAAGGACTCTTTCCCTGTACAACGCTCAACCACTGTATGTTTTCCAAATACCGACTTAATTATAATTAATTTACATTTTGTACGAGCACATAATCCGGTATTGCAATAATTCGATCTTCCATTTTGTTACTAGGCCATACTTTACAAGATTTCAAATTTAGTCCGTTTAACCATATACGCAAATTTCCTGAATTATTTAATATGATATTCGTTCCTACCTTGTATCCTCGTCGCCACTTGTAGGATTCAGGATATTTCAAGATTCATTAGGATGACAGCGGAGTATTAATATTAAACAATTATCTTCATTCACGCCCACACTGTATTTTGCTCCCGTACATGTTCTCACTACAAAACTAACTGTCCGTCTTCCCTATGCTTACTATTATTTATGATTTTCGATTTTCATATAATCACCTGAGGTGTACGACCCTACATGACCCAGGGAGGGTTGGCCTGGCAGAGGTGGTTTAAAAAGCCGTTGATATTCTACTCGCTGGCACTGTTGCAGGAAATTATTCGGTTGGAATTCTCGTTGAAGGAAATGTCGGAGCCATCTTGGCGAGAATTGCTGCTAAAGCTGATTTCATAGTCATCATAGTCGATGCATAGCCAAGAATGAATCAGGGCTCGGAGGAAATAATAAAAATTGTTACCTGATCCGAGTAGGCTGGCGTGTTCATCCACTAAAGAGTTAATATTGTTAGCAGAATAGGGAGTGTTATCTGAAGTGGCTGCGGTCTTGATCTGTCTGCACACTAAGGAATCATGGAACGTAAACAAACATGCCATGTAAAATTAAGTGCCCTGAAACTGAAACATGCAACTCGACGAAAAGGGCGTTTGATTGAACTGATTTTCTCGTCCTTTTCAACTGATTCTTATGTCAAAACGGCCGCTTGCATGTGTCGGTCTCAGGGCACTGAAATTTACCTGGGGGGACGTGCTGTCAAATCAGCCTACTGATCATCTTGTATGAAACTGGTTACAAACGTAAACAAACGCTGTAGGTTTCTTATGGCTTGTTTACGTTTGGAACCAGTTATGCGAGGTAGGCGACGATTGTTCGTATTTGACAGGCCCCCCTTGAAATTAACATGTCTTTTTCGTACACACTTAAACAAAGACCCTGTGTTCGGTAAAAAAATTTACCGTCTTAGATCGGTAATGCTAAAAATTACAGATGTTTCGGTATTTTCTTGCTTTATTGCTGACAACTGTAAATGAAATGACCGAATTAGGGTAAATCAG